GGGCTGCCCAATGACCGTAAAGACAAGAGATGCAATCTGTGTTTACTGCTTAAACTGATGGGGCCTCCATGCTTGACCCATAGAGGCCGCACAATGAAAGATGCTGTGGCTTTATTTAAACTGTTTGCAGTATCCTCAGATGGATGGTTTTATACACAGGATCACTTTTCAAAATTAAGAAGCTTCATGTTGAAAGAGATGTTTCCTCACTTGTGTTAAAGGTAACCCATATCATAATGCACAGACCCTTCCTTACACAATGCCATTACAAATGTCAGTATGAATGGGAACAAAATGAATACTTCTCGATTCTAATGGCTATTTATAAATTAACACCTCATCACAGATGTGTGTGTTGAACATCCTGCTATAGAAAAATTTCAAATGTACCCAATACAGAAGAGCGTAGACAGCAATACATTTCCTTCTGTTTAGACATACTGGGGAAAGAAGAATTGTTCCTAACTCAAGAAAGCAGTGGGAAAAAAATGGTGTGTGGAACTGAATATATATTTCAGTTTTAACAACCAAACAGAAAAACCAAATACCTCTTTTGATAAAGATCTATTGTACATGTGACAAAACCTCACTATGTAAATGGCACCAGCAACATGCCCTGTGGTATGAAGGCAAGCCAGAGAGCTGCCAGAAACATTTCTTCTGACAACACAAACTTGTTTTTCAATCTTAGGTACCAGACCTGATGGGGAGGGGAGGGGGCGGGGTGCCAGAATCAAATGTGTGTCTCAACAGTGACCTCTAGTGGTGTAGCCCTAAAATGACTGCCTCCCAAAAAAATAAGGCTAAAGTCTCTGAAACCTTGGGACCAAATTGAGTAGCCAGCTGAAGAAGACTCAGAGCTAGCACTCACAAATATTGGTGTTTTGAAGCTCATGCCAAAGGTACCCAGGGACAGAGAACTGTGATAAACACCCGTCTCTCTCCTTACTGCATCTATCCCAGTAGGCAGGTCCTTGGCTAAGCCTCGCAAACTGCTGGGGATTAGTACTTCTCAACTGGTATTACTACATCAGTGCCTACTTTACTTCATATGCAACAGGCTTTGAGTACTTTTGTGGGACACAGAATGAGAAGATGGTATATATATATATACATATATATATATGCATACAGAGAGAGAGACAGAGACAGAGAGACAGAGACAGAGACAGAGAAAGGACAGAGAGACAGAGACAGAGACAGAGAAAGAGAAGGAGAAAGAGGGGGGAGAATGCTAATTTTTGACTAAAAAAAAGAACAGCCCAAGCCCCAGCTGTCTGTTCATCTCACCCAGAGAAATAACATAGGAAGCTGAAACGAAGTTGAAGCAGGCAGGAGCCCAGGAGGCAGCTGAAGGAACAAGAGTTCCTGGAGTGGTTTCCATCCCAGCTCCCCCTAGGTACAAGTGCTTTAGAGTATCATAGCATCACTACAACACAGCATACTTCTACGACAAAGCAAATCCAGACACAGATGAAACAGATGTCAAATTCAAGGACATAATGCCCTTTTCTTTAGGGCACTAAGACCCAGTGTGTGGGGAGTAGGAACCAGGTGAGAAAGTCAGAAGATGGTGGCAGACTGTACAACAGCTAATCCCTGAAAAACCTATTGATCCCAAGGGTTCCCCACTTAATCCCAGCACACAGTTAACTCTCTGGCTTTCCCTATCAACTATGTGCTTCCTTTGAGCAATCTTGAGTTTACCCAGGTAAACTAGATACAGAAATGAGTCTTGTTAAGAAACAAAAAAAGAGAAAGAAAGAAAGAAAGAAAGAAAGAAAGAAAGAAAGAAAGAAAGGAAAAGAAAAGAAAAGAAAAGAAAGGTTAACGTTAGGTTGGAGCAGCCCAGTACTATCCTAACAAGAATGAAGACCTGGCTTAATCCCAGAACTATAGAAAGAAAGAAATAAGTGCAACTTTTTAAAGTTTCATTATTCTGAAACTCTGGCCATTTGGGCCACAAAGAATCCCTTATGTCCCTCTACCTGTCATAGCAGAAACACAGAAGCAAAGAGCAACTTGTTCCTCTTCATCACCTCCTTAAATACGCACAGGCTGGAGCATGTCTGAGAAAGTTACTGCCGACAGTAATGCCCGTGGTGACTTTACCAGACTCCGTCAACACTTACGCTTACATGCTTTACTTGTGATGAAAGTAGATCATCAACAATTGTATCTGGAACTTTAGATTTCTAATTTCTTTTGTTTCACAGTTACAGAAGACGTGAGGAATCCCTGCTTTTAGACCCGGGGATGCAGCTCATGGTGGCAGAATGCTTGCCTCGTATGTACAGACCTCTGGGCTTCATCCTCAGCAATAAATAAATACATAGATAAATAAATAAATAAGTCTTTAGAAGGATGTCAAATTCAGATCTACATAAAGAAAGACCTAAGGTAAAATAAAATTCTAGGGCTGAGGAGATGGATTGGTGGGTAAAGCACTGGTTGCATCAGTCAGCATCCACATGAAGACCAGTATGGAGGTTTATGTATCTGTAATCCCAGCGTGTCGGAGAGGTACAAACATATGGATCACAGCCAGCCAGCCTAGGCAAACGGGTTCAGTGAGAAACCCTGGTGCACAAAGTAAACCAAAGAACAAGTGAGGAAGACACCTGGCTTGAACCTCTGGTGTTTATGCATTCATGTACTCACAAACATGAACAAAGAAACACAGTGTATGAACATACACACACACACACACATTTTACATACAAGCATATTGGACCTTGGGATGATAAATGCTGCCTTAAGGCACTCATAATCATACTTGTAGTATATTACCCCACATGGATCTGTCGAGGTCAAAACCTCCAATAGCAAAAGGGCTGTCAACCCAGTGCTCCAGTGAGCAGATGTTAACTCAGAAGCAAACGGTGTGGCCCCAAACAAGGTCCCAGATTGAGTAAGTTAGTCATTCCTTCCATAATCAAGCAGGCGGAAATGTCAGAGAGCGGTGTAATTGGCATTGTGCTCGAAAAACACAAATACTTCAGCAAGATAAAAGTAAACCGTGCTGAGGGGTTTATCTTTTGAGTCCTGGTGGTTTTAATGTAGCCTTGTCAGCCAGTCCCCTATTAAACAACTGAAAGTGAAAGACACTCATTAGAATAAAAAGTGACAGGGGTGGGCTCAGCCGTGAACACTTAATGCATATTTATGCCGCCGTCAAATGGACATATTTACTATAAACACTTAAAAAACCACAGCTAAATCATTCGTTTAAATGCCAGAAAAATAGTAAAAGATGCTAATTTGACCTTAGTGGAACAGATCGGGTGTCACTTGACACTACAGGACGGCTTGAAAGAGAGCCTACCAAGACGATTAATTAACGTTTACTGGATTAGGTCAAGAGTTATCTCAAATGCAAGGAGACGGAGCAAATGGGGAGAGAAGGCAAAGTTTGGGTTCTTCCACGGTCAAGCTGTTTAACAGGCAGCATAACCACATTTACCCCTCTCTGACGTATCTGAGATCTTATGGCTTGGAGGAAGAGACCCTCATCAATTCCTAAGGCTTTGATCTCTGCAGATACATTAAAAGAGTCAAACAACAGCTATAGCGGTGCTTTTTAAAAGACTAGACCAATAAATGATTTCTAAGAATGCAACACAGCCGATGGTCTTACATAAACAGAAGTGAACACAGAAGACCTACCAATCACCAATCGTCCAATGTTTTCATAAGCTGCAAACGTGGGAGTGTCGGGAATTCCTGCTGAAAGCCTTAAGAAATTCTGAGATCTCGTGGTAGTGCACCTTTCAAAACAAATTGCCATGCTCCTCTGACCTGGAATTGTGTTTGCCAAGGGCAGTAAGAACATGCGCTATCACAACATGACCTGTGCATTACCTGTCACAAAGAGTACGTGTGACCCGTAGGTCTCATTTTCAGCCTCTGTGGTCACCGTCACTTAAGCACAACAATGATGCCTGCCTTTCCTCACCAATGTGCGCTTTGCCTAAAAATGAGCTAATCAGCCTGTCTGTAGCACACAAGGGGCCCTCCTTCACTGCCATTCTTAATTCTCAATAATCAACTGCTCCGTGACATGGCCTCCAGCTCTGTATAACGCACACGCGCACATAAATCCACAACACAAATCCCTCAATGTGACATTCTGCTCAACTTCACTGAACTCAGAAAGCCCCCTAACAAATGCTTGCCACATGATTAGGAAATCATTCAAGTCTGCAGGAAATGTGGCAAGTGGGAAGAGGTGACAGTCAATTAGAGATGAGAAAGGAGCCTGGGTCCCTGTCATTAAAATCTGTAAAGCCTTAATGCCAAGAAGAAAATGGCCCATCATTCATTCGAGATATCCCTTTTAAACAGATCCCAATTCTACTGCCTTGGGAACACTCCAAAACGGCACTGATGGCCAAGAGAGTCCTACAGAAGGGACCCAGGAACCAGTCTCCAAAAATGAGAAAAATATATTCAATGTATACAATCTTGTGAGTTTTTCTCCATCTATAAAGCAGGGACAAAAAAAAAGCACATTCAACAATGAAATCTTCCTCATTGGAGGAAGAAACATGGGTGAGAATAAAGACTTTTATTATAATATAGTTTTGTTTTGTTGTTGAGACTTGGGGCTGGAAGAGACCCAATATTGTGCCCTTGACTGGACTTGAACACCTGGGCTGAAGATATCCTCTTGCCTTAGCCTGCTGAGTAGCTGGGACTCCAGTTATATACTGCCACACTTGGCTCAATAGTTCCCTCATGAAATGGTAACCGCTGGCCAGACATTTCCTGTCATCATAGTACTTGATACCCCTATCAAAAAAGCAGAACTACCAGCAGACACAGGACAGGAAAGAATTCTCTAACTAAGGAGGGCGGGGGGGTGGGGGGGAACATACATATCTTAGTAGTCACCTAAATAAACTTTAATATTTTTTTTCTCAAGTGATTATTTATCATAACTTTCTCTGATGGAAATAACAGAATCAGAAGGAGTGTAACAAAAGAGAACTTTGACTTACTCGTTAGCTTGTTGTGGCTGAGCACCAGCTGTGTGATATGGGCTAAGGAGACTGGAAAAGAAGGAAACAAACAGTTAGGAACGTTTACAGTCACACTTCCTTCTCTTCCAGGTAGGCTGCAACATTATTCTCAAAAGTTGAGGTGGTGCCACTCAAAATCCAAGCAAGGACTCATGTAAACTGGTTGTTGAGCGTTAAGCCAGATGAAGAAGGCATGCCTTCGATCTTGCAATTAGCACAGCAAGTTGAAGCTAATGAGATCCATGTCACAGGATCAAACGTTACAAGGACCACTTAGCTTCACATGACTACCCGGGTCAGCTGGCCTTACCTGAACCATCCATCTCAATACCGTGTGTCTCAGAAGAACCGTCCAAGACTGCAGAGAAACTCAAAGGCTTGCCTAAGCTGATCAAAACCAAAACCTTCATATCAAACTGGCATCAGTAGACCAGCAGTGCGCAGCCCCACCCCCAACATCCATCCTGGAATTCCTGAATGCATTGTTGCAGGATCGGAGGCAAACCCTGTCCGGATCTCCTCTAAATGTAATTTAGTTGACGTGTCAAAGTACTGACTTGGAATGCCTACCGCTTGCCAGTTTTCAGCCTTCTGATGGAGAGTCTATCTGTTTACCCCAAGATTATAATAGTTACCTACGTACAAAGGAATAAAGTGAGCTGAGCATAGTAGTTGCAAACAGTGAGGGAAAGGGGGAAAATTAACTTGCCATGTTCCACTTCAGGACCTAAAACTCTGCAGGGCACACAGGAGTCTAAACTTATATTTATATAAGAAACCAATTTAAATCTTCTTCCAATGCTCTGTCTCTAAACCCATTCTTTTAATGCCATCGAAATTTTTGTTTAAAGGGATAAAAGAACAGATCCCAGCAGGCTGAAAAGACAGAGAGTACACACTGTCCCTAAGCATAACCTCTGTTCTGATGTCTAATGGCCTGTTTTCATTTCAGCACAATTATGGAAAAGTTCAAAATACAAAGACAAACCATCCTAGTCTGTTCACTGAGACCAAGTTGACACCCTATAAACTTTAAGGAATATGATGTTAATAGGGTGAGGTGAAAAACAAAACAAAAAAGTTAATCTTACATATCATGGTCAAATATAATCTGAGCCCCCATCCAATAGACACCTCATTTCTTTACAAGAAAGGGTCCAACTCCAAATCCACATACATGACCCTGCCAACCCTTTAATCTTGGAGTATCTCTTGTCCTTGAATTTCATGGTCTTGGTACCTGAAAAATTGCAGGCCAAATCATTTTGGATTGTGTTCTCACTATGGTTCAGGTGAGTACGTCTCAAGCCCACACCTGCCTCCCACTCCAAAAGGCCCATTGTTTCCATGGCAGCAGTATCAGGGTCTGCTCTGGACCTTCATGATGTCAAGGGAGTGAGTACAACAAGGGAGCTGTGGAGCTGGCCTCCCCATCACCTCCCCATGTCCCTCTTTGGTTCCTGGCATTGGGAATGGGCATTACTCTAACACATGCTTCCGTCCTAATGTAGAACCTGCACAAAGAGAGCCAGACTGATGCATCTGCACAATCTTGGACTTGAGTCTCCAGAACTGTGAGCCAAAAGAAACTTGCCTTGATTTTGTAAGTATTGCTCATCAGGTAACAAGGCAAAGCCACTGTAGATACAATCACTTTGCTTGGACCTTCCCGTTCACTGACCCTCATTAGTTTGGCTATACTTCTGTGACAAGAGCATGGAACCAGCATGTTCACACTGCATCCTACCCCATAGCCTGGGTGACAATGTATTGACACGAAGGGTCGAATGGGAACACACAGTTCCACTGTCTGCGCAGTCCTTCGTAATGAGTAAGCATGGGAGGGGGGGAGAGGAGTTCTGAGCTCCTGTCTCAGCAGGAAGAGGATCTTGAAAAGACGGGTATGGGAATGGCGCTGATGCAATAATGTCTCCGGGTCAGTAGTAGATGCAAGCTGCTAGTTCGGGTACTCTCTGTGTTCCCTGACAATTCTCAGTACTCTTTATTCAACTTCAGCTTAAGCTTAAACCTAATAGCTTAACTCTTCAGCTAAATTCCTTCTCCCCTCTCATGCTGCTGCTTTTTCCCCTCTCTGAGAGCCTGAACCCAGTCTTTTATTTACTAAAGCTACATCATCAAGGCTTTGATCATCGGTAATAATTATCAAACATTCTTAAAGTTACGTAAACTCTATTCCCGGATCAGGAGTTCCAGCCCCTGTATCCTTAGAGCAGAACTAGGCACAAGGCAAAAGCACATTTCCTTATAGGTTTACACAGCCCATTCTTCACGGGGAGCTGGCCATAGCTCTTCCATTTTTCTGGTACAGCAGAGAGCAGGCTCTAGTAACTATTCTCGTATAAAAACAGAAAGATAACAGACTACTAAAATTAAGATGATTCCTTACAAAGTTTTGAATTTATGTAAGTAAAACAGTAAAACAGTTAGCTCTCTCTAATATCTTTCCAGGCACTGTTAACTCTAATTCTTCTATCAGCTAGAAAAACAGTACTAACTTTTTATACGCTTCTACATCATCTTTTAATCCTCTGATCTTCGCTTCCTTATCCTAGCAATTCCATGGCGTCATGTGCTCTCCTTCTGATATTATTTATTTCCAAGTCATATATAAATTCCTCTATTTTCTACCCACACTCTTTCTTCCTGAGACCACTTTAACTCTCTATCCTTGATGCCTCTAAATTCATCTTGTCTAATCAATGCAGCAGTCATTGGACTGGAGGGTACATGCACTTTCTCATGATTCCAAAATCAAGGCCAAGTCTGGCAATGAACCATTTCCAAAAAGGACCATGTAGGCTCTTATGGTCCTTATGGTTATATTGTCTACATCCTTTCCCATGACCCTGAAAGCCAAGTAGAGGCCTGTTCCTCGTCTCCACAGCCTCATGACCATCTCCATTCCTCATTCCTGAACACTGCATCTGTTTCATTTACTATGGCGTGATTAGCTCTGAGTAATGGGAGAAGTATATTCCCCAGAAGGAAAGGTTGAAAGTCGAGTCATGAAGACAGCAGATCAACTCTGGGGCAACAGCAACCACCAGCACACAGGGTCATGGCATCAATGGCCTGGTGATGCTCCAGGAGCAGGAACTTGTGACATCTCCTATTACCCAGCCATGCCTGTCCCAGCAGGGGAGGAAGGGTATGTGAAAGTATACCTAAGCTCTGTTCTTCGCCCAAGCTTAACCTTTGTTGTTTCTTCAGTTCCCAGCTGAGGTAATTTCCCTCTCACAAGACAGTCTGCTAGTGACTGCAGGCAACGTTTGTTCTAACAACCACGACCACGAGAAAAACCCAAAACTTTCTATGTGATTTACATTAAGCATTTATTAGAGAGCAATGGTCTAACTCGCTGAATATGTCTCCTAGAACCTAAGGGCTCAGATCTATGGCTCCAGAGTTAAGGTTGCCCATGACCAGTCAAACATGAAAGGTATTGGACTTGCTTACCCAGGTGCTCCTAGAACTAAACCTTCTTTCTCACATACTTTTGATGGTTTACAACATGGAAACATATGTCCTATACAACTAACAAGTCTCCCTGGCTAGCTGTCCTGGGTCAGCATAGAGTGAAGATAAAGTCCTTGTCTATGCTTGCTTTCTCCTGAGTTATACAGCTTATGCCTATATAGATGTGCACATCTCTGTGACAATAAACTTCTCAACTCCCTTCTCTCAGCCTGGTTCCCTTCTCATTGGACTCAGATGCTGACCTATGTATGACCAGATGCCCTCTTGCTGTGTGGGTTAAGGCACCCCACACTGTAAGACTGCCATCCTACCCTACCCCCTTCCCACATTCCACCCTTGGTCACCCCTGAATGTTTCTGTTCAGTCCCACGTAATGGCTCTAGGAGGAATTTTGGGGGAGGAAAGAGATCAAGGAAACCCAGAGCTCTCCTGTAGTGCTTCAAAGGAATCATCATGGCGGCCCCATGTGACTGGCCCTTGAGATCTCAGATGCTGTGGAAACCCTCACCCATTTTTCCTGGTAAGAGTTCAGATTTTCTTGTCTTCTAGATAGAGTAGTCCTCTGTTTCAGAGGTGGAGAAGTCGGACATGACAAAAATCTCCAAAAACTCCCTTGTACCAAATAGGTCTCACAGACCAATCCGTTAAGATTATGTTCCACTTTGTGTGAGAGAAAATAACAAACAGCAGGGATTATCCTGGGCGAGAGCCTCTCTAGCAGACACAGAAGCAGTCCAGGGGTCCCTTGGGTGCCCAAGCTTAGTCCCCACCTCCTATAGGCTAAATGTCGGTCTTTGTACATGCATGGATTGAAGCAGTAATCCTCAAAAGTATTTGGAGGTGGAGCCTTCAGCAATTAGGAAATGAAGACGAAGCTTCCATGAGTGGGAGGGGTATCCTTAGACAAAGAGACATAGGACAGATGGCTTCTCCACATCCTGCTGCCATCTCCAGCCAGTGAGGACAAGATTGTGGCCACCTATAAACCAAGAGAGGAGATCTCACTAGGTCCCAAATCTGTTGGCACCTGGTGCTTCGACACATCAGCTTTTGGGACTGTGAAGAATTTAACCCACACAGTCTATGGCTTAATATTTATCTTAAAAATCCAAACTACTAACAGATACATCAAGATGCCATTTGACTAGCTGAGGTCCACCGTCACTCCCCTAGGAAGAAGGAAGAGGAAAGCAAGTCTTCCTTTAAGACTCTTCTGAGAACTCGTACCTGGTCTACCCTACTCAGGGGCATTCAGTACACAGTACTGCCTACTGTAGGGTGGGCTGGAAAATACATAAATACAGGCAACCACTAATTAGCAGGGGGAAAAAAGCAGAGAGTTTTTACTACCAAGAAAGAGCAAACTAAATCTAGCAGATAAATAGCAGCCTCTCGCAGTGACATCTGAATGTCACAGGAATCAATTCTGATTACAAAAGAAAATTGATAATTTTTCCTCTCTCCTTCTGCCTTAATCTTTCCTACGATGTCAACAAGTAACTAATTAGAAAGGGGGAAAAATCTGTTCTTCT